ACGACGTGGATGAGAAAGCTGACCGTCGCGAGATACGTTAGAAGTACGAGCGCATTCAATTCTTGGAAATGCGTCGCACAGCGGTGGAGCGAGGGAATGGAGATTCTGTCGAGTGCAAAGGACGATTGAAAATGTTGGCGACGATCCAACGACGAGAAGGGGGAGGTCCTCGTCTTATCCGGCGCTTCGTATACATGTTAAAAACGTTCCCTTCTCCCGTAATATTAGTTCTACGAATAAATTCGACAAGAACGCGATATCAAAAACACGCGAAAAAGCGTGCGGTAGCAGTAGCTGCAGGCGGAATCAAGCTGTCACTCGCAAAGCTGGAAATATAATATCGTACTTCGCCATGCAACATTGATGGAAATGTCTTATTTCATGGAACACAGACTATTAGAGGTTCAGATATAATTTCACTGGTTTCACGTTAATAATGGACCTTATTTTAATTTTTAAAAGTGCATATGCTCTCTACACATACGCTCTGAAATAAAGTCAATAACTGAGACAGATTTACTGATACTGATATCAGGCGATATTATTCCTATTATCTTTGCGTCTATTATGACCGAAACTTTTAGAATGTGATATGCGACTTCGTGCGCGCTCCTTACATCTGAATGAGAGAAAACGGGAGTGGCAGCGTCGTGAAACGCCCGCGCGCGTCGGGGACAAAGTTATACAATTCTAACTTACGGGTTCGTAATTACACGAAGAAATATGTTAGATCATATCTCGCGAAGTTCTCGCGTGCACAAAGAGTGTCAAGCGAATTTGTAACGCTCGTCGGACAGACGCATGTCGCATCGTCGTACACAGCCGCCGTTTCAGAAAACCGAAGCGAGTCGCAGAAGCGGGGACAATTATGCCGTCCGCGGCGTGGCGGCTAGTTGAAAAACTGTGGCTTTACACGGCGCGTTAAGTACGTATAACAACCATTCGCAATTATGCGCCTGGAGACAAACGTGTAAATAAATGTGCATCTCTATGCGCGCATATACATACGCGCGTATATATATATATATATATAATATATATACATATATATAAGCGCACTGCTTTCCGGAGCGCAGAATGACTCACGAGTGTCCCAACTATTGTGCGCCTACGCAAAGCAAAGCGCATGACATACTGCAAAGTCAGTCCTGTTACAAAGGTACGATGTTAAAATATCTGGGTACAGTTACTTGAATAATAAAATGGCTAGATACAGATAGCGATACATACTACACAGGCTCCGTTCTGTTTAGCCGCGTGCTCTATACCTTTCCGCGATCCTCTTTTTCTCTTCTTACCTCACCTAGATTCCGGTGTTCGGTTAAAAATGCAAAGCTACAAAGAATAGACTTTCCTGTAGTAAAGGATACAGATATAGGTGAGAATTAAGTAATTAGGTAATTACTGTGGGATAGTAATTAGAGGGTAAATCAGATTAGACAAACGTGAAAAACGATACCCAGATATTTAATTTATAGTAGTAGATAAATGATTTGCGTGTTAACTGCGGGTGAATGAGACGGAAAGAGGTGGGGAAATCGAGTTAAGATCAAGGTTAAAAGTTCGCATTACATAAGAAAGTGTAGCGATCGAGGGACGAATGCTTACAAGAGATCAGATATCCAGAGATCATAAATGCCAGCTGGTGAATATATACTTAATTTAAAAGCCGGTTTAGCTCGATTTACCCGCGGTATAATATTATAATATAATCGACGTAAATTTTCAAGCAGCACATAATAAATGTCCAATTACGAATAAAATTTGAATTTGGGATTTTAATATATGTAGACGACGGCTATCATCGTTTGCTCTCTTGATTTGCATTGATTTGATTTGCAAAGCAATAAAAGCGTTATTACGCTAACTTGGCGAAGTAAAGTTTCTAATATCGCCGCTTTCATACGCTGTCCGTACAAGTTCTACAGTAAAAGCATAACTGATTAGCGCGTCCGAACACAAGCCGTTAACAGCTACGCGCGAATCGCTCTGGTGTGCGCGGCACCTCTCTCGCTCCACCTTATTTACGATTTCATCGTGCCACCTGCGACAGAGATTACGCCTTCCGAACAGGTTTTCATACCGCGTTTGCAGCGACCGTACACACTGCCGCAGATCGCTGAAAGTCTAGTCGCACGTAGAAAAGGAATCTCATTGCCTTTGTTGGAGCGCACCGGGGAAAGAGAGGTGCGCGGTGCGGAGGGAGGGCCCCAAGATTATACATCAGATTCAGCGCGCCGACGGGCGACGTCGTTGCCGGATGCCACTTGAGCTCGAATCGTATCTAAATGTACCTCGTATATCAGAAATCGAACCGTTCCCCGCGGCGTGTGCTCCGGGGGAACGGTTTACGTATGTCATTTCGCGGGATCGCCGCGCTAGGATGGAGCATCGCATGCCGCTTTATTCGGTCGCAGATGCGCCACGACCATTTCTCGTGCTTCGCGACATCGCGACAAGCCGCGTGTGGAAATTTTCTTTGACTGTTTTCCGCCGTCGCCGCCGCCGCCGCCGCCGCCGTCTTACGACTGACTCACGGGACGTTTCGAGTATTTATGATAGGAATACAAGATGCAACGAAAGATCCCACCGTGCGAGATGAAACGTTAGTTTGTGTTACGTGGCGCGTTATCAAGGTGCTCGCTGTTCTTGTCGACAACGAATCTACGAGGGGTCCGTAATTTATGATTATCATTGTAATGAAAGTCCCTAGGTGTTCGCGCGCAACAAATCGTTCTCTCTCCTCGCGCACAGGTATGAATACGCTTGCTCAAGTCGAAAGTATTACCGCGATGTTACGTGGAATATCAGCGCTGAATATAATCGTGGCCACGTTTCATCAGTACATTGTAATAAACTGCGCCCTGCAGTTCTTCATTACGATTGCGCCGGCGTGAAAATTGAAGTAACGGTGTAGCTTTACCGTGTTTCTTCTTACAAGTTATACTAATATTAGACGATGCTTGTTTTCCATCAATTTCTGCACTTTGAATTTCAATTGACGATCAGCAGCAGCCAATTTATGGCAGGTACGAGCTGTAAATACCTATATTTTTCTCAAGGCGTGAATAATCTATACGGTACGGTACGCGTGCCATGTATTTTTCAAGGTAAAATGAACGATGTGGAAGTTAAGTGGTTAAACGAACGGTGAAAAACACGAAACGACACTACTCCCCATTGTCCACCTTTCCACGGGCCGGATATAACAAACGCGTTCCGCGTAAAACGACGGAATTGATCGGTATTGGAGAGCGCTTGTTCCATGCGGTATTTCACGTACATATACTAGTTTGCGTATACCACTTCGCGGTAATCGGTAAATTGCGCTTCGTGCCGATCGAAATAACGATTTCGCGCTTTTCTAATTGGCCCCGAACAGAGGTCACAAATCATATCTCGAAGCGCGAAGGTTCGCGGTTATACATGCGCGCTCGAATCCTTTTGCTCCTTTTAACCACCATCACTCTGTTATTATCCTGTCCTTCCTCTATCCCCGCTTTTTCCCCTCCACCCCCTTTCTCACCGTGTCTCTTGTGCTTTCCTTATTTTAACGGATTCTAAGCCGCGAATGTACGAAAGAGTTATCGGAGAATGAAAAGGAACAGGAAGAAGGAAGCGTGGGAGGCGAGATGAGTAGACGGGAAGTTAAACAAAACACTTCGGATGAAGTTCTACGAGGTACTTAAGACTCGGCTCCGTGCTCCATTATCGCATAATGCGGTAGTATTATAAGAAGTAAATGGTATCCGTCTGTGTACTGCGTTGCAAGCGCCCTCCCCCCGGAAGTGGGCATTCATTGACCGTAATGCGGCGCGTACGTCTCAGTCTGCGATAAGTAACGTCTTCCTACAATTTGAATTTTCACGGGTAATTCGACCGCGGTTGACCGCCGTAAAGAATCCGTCTATGTCGCGGTCGCACCTTCGACCACAATCTCGCATATAGTCACCGTTAAAATAGGCAACGGCATTAGCCTGCACGGCCTCGCAAGGCGTGACCTGCTGATGGCGGGTAATTGAATATCTTTAGCGCCTCTTTGAAGATCGACGTGCCGCGTCCCGATTCGCATCTCGCTTGAGAAAATCTCTCTTCGTATATTCCCTCTGTCTGCGCGATCCTCTCCCCCTCTCCATCTCCCAAGTGTTCCTCATTATCCTAATGGCTTATTATGTCTCTTTCAAAGTCTTTTTTTTCGCTACCTGTCACAAACGCACCTTTTTAATTAATTAAGCTTTGGCTTAAATTTTTATAAATGTCGAGAAGTATATTTTTATAAGATAAGTTTTATTTTAAAATATTTTGTGTTAAACTTTTTACTATTATTATCTTTCGTTCCTCTTATCTCGCTTTATTCTTCCTATCTCCCCCCCCCTCTCTTTCTTTCTTCCTTTTCTCCCTCGCGCCCAGCTTCAAGCAAGTTTTCCACGAGTCACGATCGAAGCTCCCGTCACACAGCGGAGATTAATTACGATTTAGCAAAGAGCGGATGACGTATGACGAGACATGGGCGGAGTGCCTACTTCGTCGCTTATCGCGACGCGAGCCAATAACCGAGGAAGAACGTGCTACTCGCGGCGGCGAGTGATAAACGCGCTGATTTATCAAAATTGTAGTCCAACTCGACAACGTCTATAGAATATCCCAATCGCGCGTATCAAACGTGAGCGACATAACAGTGTACGCCACTTTGCTATTGACCTATATATAAAGGACGGTTATCAAAGTAAAATGGAAGATTTAACGTGCGATTTCTAAAACAAGCAAACAACATTACGTTTGACACCAATACAGACGCAAATAATTTTTCATATAATCCTAGTAATGTTAACTATATTTTTAATTAGAAATTAATAATCAAATGAATTTATCAAATGAATTTAACGTATTTTTTTTTGTTAAATCGCAGTCACATGCCGAAGGCGTACAAAATATTGCTGACGCAGCATCGAGTGTTGATTTTTTTTTCGCAATTGATGCGGAATCATTTCCGTTTTCAGGCGCACTGTCGCAATCCCAGTTCCCCGTGTTCACGATCTACGCCCAGAAGAGTTGCCTGGCGGTGAAGCCCTGCGAACGTGCTTGGTGCATCGACAGAGTGCAGGGACACCGCCTTCAGGGTCACGCACGCAGGACCATGACCGCCTCCTCGAGGCAACACTGCCTCGAGCTCTGCCTCGGCGAACGAGACTTCCTGTGCCGGTGAGTACCGATGCGGAGTATTTCCCTCTTATACATATAGCAAAACCGTCCGATTGCTCGTTTTCCACCGACCTGCTTTTCTATCCGCTCCATCGCGGACACGATGTCCGTGGAGTAGAAGGACGGACTCGCCTCGTCGTAATATTCGTCGCGAATCGGTACGCAGAGGGAACGCCGGCTCGAGTAGCTTTCGAAGAGCGTACGCTCCAATGCATTTTCCAGTTATTGGATTCTTGGATTCAGCTAGAGGACGTTACACCATGCTCTTATACACTCACGAGTGTTTCTCAGACAAGAACCGTACGCCCGGCGGACGCGAAAGGAAACGGCGAAGAATACGCAAGCCAAGTTAGAAAGGGTCAATCTAACTCGCGCGCTAAAATTGCTGTTTATCGTCGTGTATTGCGGAAGGGACATTTTCGAGACGAGTTTCCTCGATTATATAAGTGAGGATAAGATGCGAGATAATCTTGAGCTTTATCGAAAGTGCGCAGAGAAAAGGGTATTTCTCGTGTATATTCACACGTAATATATTTAGCGAATTGTGATATAACTTGAAATTAATTAAATTCTGCAAAGCGGAAAAGGATTAATTTAAACATTTTTTTCCTGTTGTCAAACAATTAACGTTAATTAATTCATAAATAATAAACAGAAAAGAATAACAATTCAGGTATAATTTGGCTAATAGAAATCAAATATAATTAATATACAAAAGAATAATTTTAAAAAATTCATACGTGTTGCAAAAGTTTTTTATTTATTTCTTATTTGAGTTATATGCATGTTTATCGCGCTATTGTGCGATAAACACATTGTGAATGCTCGATGAATAATAATTTTTCGGTATTATCAATCTACACGAGATATAAAGCATAATAAAACGCTTTGATCGTAACGGAAATGTGATGATACTCATATCATTGCGTTTATTCTGAACGTACAGTGTGGCGTATTATATTGTGCCACGCCACTGGTTATAGATATCGTAATATCGTAACGATAGAACGAAAATTTTATTATCGAGGAATTTGAATTTTAATTGTCAATGCATCCGGAATTCGAAATAATGAGTAGAAAACAGCTGCATCACGTTAATGACGGATAATTTCCTCGTCAATGTCAAACAAAACGTGTCACGCACGAATATCTTATAATGTGACGTAAAATTGATTTATATCGATCGCGTCTCGTATATTTCACAATCTCGTATTACGAAATTTATAGGCCATCCCCGCCTTCGTCTAACGATTCAGAGGAAGTCGACGAGAAAACGCGATATGCGACTTTAGCGGGTAACGAACTGGACGGCCGGTCGCTTTACGAGTGTAGGTGCCGCTAATTCCGCATCGACGATCCTCGGCGTGTCCCCGTTGCAGATCACTCGCGTTATCGCGCTGATCTTATTTACCATAATGCGTAACGGCGCGTAACCAGATGCAATAATGCGTATCGCGGCGTCCTTATTGCGCGCGCTTACAAATAATGCAGTTCCGCGTGGACCGCGACCTCGGCGGTTCGTCTGTATACACGCGTTTTACGTTGCATTGGTGGTATCCGGAGCGTAATGACCGACGCACTTTCATTACTCCTACAGCGAGCGAGAGAGGGGAAACGGGCGCGAGAGGGAAGCTCGCCGGGGAAGGAAAATGAAGGTACAGAACGGCATGGGCATCGGAGTTACTTTACGGCGCGATTATATTGCATTTTAAATGCCCTCTTTCACACGCGCCGCAATGGCGAGCTCTTCCGATCGCGGTGTGTGTTATATACGAACTGCTTCGTTCGCTCGTATACATTATGCATCGAGTGAAAATCGCGCGAAAAAGGCGCATCCCGTCGCGACAGGACGGGGCGGGAGGAGGGGAGCGGGGAAATTGTGTACGGTATTCGTATCGTGTCAATTATGCGGCATTACGCTCTCTCACGGTAATCAGATTTATTCGTACAAAATTTGCAAATTTTGTTCCACGGGCAAAACGTTTCGCATTCCGTTTGATACGCAAGTCGGGCGCGCTCATATTTCCCCAATGCCGCATTCTCGTCTTTTGTAGCCTGTGCCGGAGACGACGTTTTTATACGCGCGTCGTTATTGCCAATTCTCTTTCGGCGATCGTTATCGCCGGTACAAGTAAGCGTCTAGACAAGAGTGATTTCTCTCGTGCCGCGATCGACCGTTAGACACTTAAGGATTTTTCTCACGGAAGTAGTGATTATCGATACGATGGCTTTCTACGATTCACTATATGTTGATTTATATGCTAATCCGTATGGTCCATCTATCAATTACAGCGCTCTTGATCTATAATTACATTCACCCTTTGAAATGCGATTTTTATCACGTATCGCATTCAGCGGGTTTTTACCCGCTTTAAAGCTCACGTGCGCGCGCGCTCTTTGGATGCGCTAAGCATTTTAAACGTGACACGTGCTCCATGCAATAGCATGTAAAAAAAATGTATTTTTTTTTCCCCTCCGGATCAAGTAGTGAACTATAAGCGTCTATCGATTTTACTACGCTCAAGCTACGCCGGTTAAATGCTTTTACATTGTTACTCTAACACGATTTTATTTCTCAAATGCTTTGCTCATCCATTATTAAAAAACAAAAGCCATGTTTACCTATCGCGTCAATTAGCCGGCGAGACATAAACAAATTTCGATAGGTTAGCTGTGAGAAACGTCCACAGGGTATCAGACGTTTTTCCTCGACCAAGCATGCGGAAGACGACGGCATGGGTCGGCGCGCGTCTTCCGATTTCGATACAGCTCGGTGTTGGCGCGTTTATGCGGTATCACGCCGACGCGTCAAGGCTCGCGTCCGTGAGGCAAGCGTGCCGGGTGAATGTGCACGTGCACACCTTGAAAGCCTCCAAAGCGAAAGGTCTCTGCCAGCTGGTCTCTCGCAACCGACCCCCTGAGCTGATGTACCTTGGCTCCGACCCGAGACAGGGTCGAGAGGTCCTCGGCCAGGCGGAACCGTATCAAAAGTGGCATAGCTACGCGTTTCGAGACCCTCCCCCCCCCTCCTCCTCGCTCCACCTCTGCTCCTCCCTTCCCGGTGTTTGAAGAAACCGTGGAAAAGGGAGCACCGGTGTGAATATATGCATGAACGACTCAACTGCCGAAGCAAATTTCCTGAACAAACCCGCCCCTTTCGCGCGTTCCCCCGGGAAGGGTGCAGACATAATCTGCTTAATCTCCGAAGAAATGGAATCCGCCATGAGAAAGAAGGTAGCGAAGTAAAAACTTTGTTCTGCTTATCGTCCCCAATTTTCCGGCGGCGCCGAGGATATGGATGCCGGAAAATATATATAATTGCAATTACGCCGTTTAATCCGATTCAATATGCGAAGAGCATGATCGGGTAGCGCGCGCCACGCGGAATTCGGTCAAATAATTAGCGTTAATTTATTTCGGGACGATTTATTGTGAGCTGCGTGCAACGTTAATATTAATTGGCATTGCAAATTGAATAGAGGAATAATAATTATTTGATATACGCGCTCGCTCCAGCGAAGGCTGTTTAATCGCGAGCATCCGTATTCATAAACACCGCGGAATAATTCGGTACGGGAACTCACAGCGATATCGACTAGAATCATATAAATCGCTATCGAGCCGGGGCGATCGGCAGAAACGTGCGCGCCCAGCCCGACTCGGCCCGGTCCGGCCCGGGCCGCGCGGCGAAGGAGGAACTGCAACAATGAAACATTTATCCATGAGATAATGCACGCGGCGAGAGATAATGCACGGATTCAGAGATCATTGCGCGAGTAAGAGGCGCATCCTTAGGGCTCGCATAATATCTCTCTACCCCTAACCCAGCTAACTCCGAGAGGTCAGCGGTGTGTAGCGAGCAGAAACACTTAGGAAATTACATAAATGTATATTCTGTCGTTCAGGAAAAGTTGGGGACGCGATAAGGAAGCGGGAGGGGGTGACCCCGGCGCGTTTCAACATAAACGCGGAAGAAAACGCGGGAAGGAAGTTAGCTATTTCATTAAATGTAGATAAATCTCCGCGTTGCGCGCGCGCGCGCGCGTCCTCCGCTGGCGCCGGCTGCAATTGTTCGCCGTACCGCTGCTCGCGAATAATCAAGAGAACTCATGGCATTATATTATTGCGCAACAATACGCGCGCGTGTGATCGCGAGGGCTCTCGGCAGACGTGATGCTCCGGTTGTCTCGCACGAGAAGCCAGACCCTCCGTGTACACTCTGCTCCGAAGAAGCGCCGATGAAGATCGTATTAACATTCCATGGGAACAGTATTCCCTCGGCACAATCGCCTGATTAGACATTGTCGGCGCTCCGCGGCGGAATTCTTTCGCGGGAACGCCTTGATTTCCAACGAAGGCGCTTCATCACGCGGTAAGAACCTCCGCTAACGCCCGTCGAGATTATTGGAAGTTATTACGTTGCAATTTTTTTTTTAATACATGCATGCACGCCCGACGTTAATGTGGATTAATACGAATATCCCTTTAATGACCGCGTACCATTAGCAAAGATCAGAAATTTTTCTTTCCACAATTTGCTTTTATTTTCAAAATTAAGTATAGAATTTTCAATTTTATACTTTTGTAACAGCTGTCCTTTTTTTTGTGTGAAAATATCTGTAAAATTTTATATGGATCTAACCATAACTTTTCGATTTTCTCTATTTGTCGATGAGCCTTTCGAGAATTGAGCGTTTCAATTCTTTCATTTACGGAACTCTTATGGTACATGTCAAGTATTTTCCATCGCAAATACGGATATCCCTTGTATGATTATCAGAACGGAAGAAATCTCTCAGAGCCAACCAAAGTATGAAAATGATACGATCAGAAGTCTGTCGCGGAAGTAGATATAGTACATACGTTTCTTTTGTCCGATGCATTGGTGATTTGTTGCAAGCAAATAGTAAAGACCGAGCGCATCTCGAGTGATGTGCTCCAGATGAGTGTTCGAGAGAACAACGTTCGAGCGCGGAGAGGCGAATAGGAAGAACGAAGAA